ACCCTTTTTGGCCCCGCCCCTCAGGCCCCTGTGGGCTTGGGACTTAACCGGCCACTATTTTTGTTAACCTTTGTCCATGGAAGATCCCTGCAAAATTTCATTGAAATTGGTTCAGGGGTTTTGGAGAAGAAGATTTTTGAAATTTTAGTCAATTTGACCCTTTTTGGCCCCGCCCCTCAGGCCCCTGGGGGCTTAGGACTAAACCGGCAACTATTTTTGTTGACCTTTGTCCATGGAAGGTCCCTGCAAAATTTCATTGATATTGGCTCAGGGGTTTTGTAGAAGAAGTCGAAAATGTAAATTGTTTACGGACGCACGACGGACGACGGACGACGGACGACGACGGACAAAAGGCGATCGCAATAGGTCACATGAGACTTTGTCTCAGGTGACCTAAAAACTAAGACCTATCCAGTAGGATTTATTGACCGATGACATTTTCACGAATCAAATAGGCAAAAGGAACCGATATAATCGTAAGTAGAATATGTTTTAGGCGTTTTTATCTTACATAGTCTATATTAATCGCTTTGATTTTGCAGAATGTGTATCAGATGCAAAAAGTTGTATTTGTTTATTTTAATCGTAGATGACCTATATACTTTGCTGGATTCACCGTTAGACATCATGTTTGGCAAAACAATCTAGGGAACAATATAGATTACAATTCCAGAACACCTTGGTTCGTGTATTTTTAGGAATCATACCGTCCATTGTTTTGTTTCAACATCACTCAGTGTTACTGACTTTCTCTTCGACTTTGAGACCGAGTTTTGTCTTTGTACTATACAGATACTCGTTATGTCTCTTCTGACACACGTAGCGGTTCTGCGTTTTATCGACAGCTTATTTCATATTAAGACGGTGTGCACATGTTATGGTTCTGTTTCATGAAATTATAACCTGGTTTAAATGTCTATTGAAAACTAGCTGGTCGTAAACAACGAGAAAGAATTACACATCATTGACAGCAAACACATCCTGATTAAGTCTCTTAACTGTTAACACACATTTACAGTCCGGTGCAAATGATTAATAGTTGTGAAAACTAAATATCATGCTACAGCAAATACAACATGTAGACAGACAAAAAGAATCCATGTTAATCCGTAAATTTAAACCTCACTTAGATAGAATTGTACTGAAATGAATGTGAATAAGAGAACCCAACATCTTTACAAATACCCAGAAACACACATTAGTTCACATGTAGTGTATCTTTTAAATATGACTTTCTTCAGCATCGATTTCACTTTTGATAAATTATTGATAAAGTATTCTGTTTTATTTCTAAAAAACATCAAATGTTTTTCAAACATTAATTTGAACACAACATTATTCCTTTGATAAAGATTTGTTTCCTTTACTAGAAAAAAATGATGTCGGATTCAAATCACATGTGAATTCGGTGATATCTATGATTTATAGGGTTCAGTTGTACATGGACCATTGAACACTTGGGAACTGGTAAATTGTCAATGTACCATCCATGCAATAGTGCCCATGGAAATTAAGAGTTGTTAGTGTTAACGTTATGGTTTCCTGTGTGACGTAGATGGGAAAAGGGAAAACAGACGTCAAACATTAATAGTTAAACATGAAATCAACCCTTACTTACCTGTTTGTATAATTTCTGCACAAATAGAAACAGCAGATGTCAAAGTATCTGATCGGGTATCAGTAACCGAACCAATTACCTAACGACTTCGTCTCATCTTACTCTATCCAACATTATTCTTCCAAATAAGTTTCCCCCATACATTAATAGACCTACAAAATTGTAAACATCCACGTGCGTTTCCTCTTTATATCAATACATCTACAAAAGTTGAGACCTCGTAATTGCTTTCTCTCATCTGTCGTTACAACAATTTGCTAGAAAGCAAGATTTTGAAGTTTTAAATTGCCAAACTAAGTTTAATCAAAATGGATTTTACGGGGCTTACCTTATAAAATCCAAAACTTGCATCATAAACTAGCAGAGCCACATAGGTACTTGGTTTAAGTTATCAACCCACTATAACATTTAAATAAAATACTGCTTATTTTCATTAACACGAAATGCTGGTTACCTCAAAACTTCTTTCCGAGGCACAACAAAAAGATATGGTAGCTATTCACATAGTTTTCATTCCGACAAATATTGATCAGGAGGTAATTTATCATTCAATATGAAATTACACAGAACAGGTTTCCTCGACTTCAGTTAGTATTCACGTTGAATCGAATGTAAACTATCATGGGCGTTTAGTACTCATGGCGTAATCTCAAAGCCACAAATGGTAAAATAACATGATTCAAAATTTAGGTAAAAACCAAAGACGGGTGTGTGGACGCTAGCGCTTTGCTAAACATGACTGTTACTTATTAAATCCACTGTAGCGAATGCAACCACTGCTCAGCCGCAAATTAATGATTAAGTTCATATATCATAAACCTCTAATGGAAGAATTAGTTTTACCTAATATCACATAGTTTTGAAACAAAACAAACGGTTTGCTAAACGTTTGTGTATACTTCATTGTACTAGCATACATGTTTTGACATTTGACAAACTTCTACATGTACTGTAAGTAGGGGATGTGGTTACTAAGGGTTATCTTTGTTCTAGCTGCTAGGATGTGCCCCTAAAGCGAGCGTGTGGAATACTCGGCGTCATTACCTCCTGTTTCAGTGGGTTCTGCAGGACAGCGCTGTTTGTCAAAATGACCACCTCCTGTGCGCCTCCACTCAACCTCCGCCACATACGATTTCTCGCAAAACAACGACGTCTCGTTTGCTAGAAATAAATATTGTATTAAATAAGGCACAGTGATGATATAGTCTGTAAATAGATAATGGCATGGATAACACACATCGGAATCGATGTCGTTTCAACTTAAATAGTTGAACAAGGAAGAAAAAATAATCATGACTAGCTCATGGCAGATGCTCACATAGATATTCCATGCAACATCTTTCCCAATTTGCCCGTGACATTTGACCTTTAAACCTTGTTCGATGACCAACAAATTGTAATCACGTGCAGACCTCTATGTTACCAAAGTATGGTGTTAGTATTAACTACATTTGTAGAGAGTTTTGTAAGATATCTTGTACACAAGCTGTTTGTTTCAAAAGTTGCAAAAAGTGAAGTTTGACCTTGAGCTATGACTCTTTAACCTTGACCATCGACCACCAAAATCTAATCATGTGCAGAAATTGACATTACTATGCTCTTGCGTAAAAATGAATTAAATTAATTTAGGGGTTCATGGGAATTTCGTGCACGGCACAATCTTCTCACTACAGAGGGACGGACGTATACACGGACGCACTGACAAAGTGATTACTATATACTACCTCACTAGGAGGGGTTTAACTAGCAAACTAAAACATTAAACACTAAAACACATAATACAACTGGGCATATATAAGTACTCTATAACAGTGGTGAATTTGCAATATATCGCTATAAGCAATTGATCTGTTTTCAAAAGACCACTCACCAGGCCAAACATAGACATGCGAAGTGACGTTAACTGAACCAGCTTTGTTGGTTACACGACATGTGAAAACAGATCCCTGCTGCATGTTCCTCACAAACAGGCGAATCCCAGTTGGTTTGAGATCCTCAACGCGGTTGCCTTGTTTTCCATTTTGAATTTTGTAACCTTTCTCAAACCACTCGTACTTGAACTTGTTCTGAGTATCATCTGGAGACATGCAACGGATCGTCACATTTGCACCCGGAAGTACTGACGTGGATAACGGGTCAAGGTCAACAAGCGGAAAAGTGATGACGTCAATTGATATTGACTTGTTCTGAACTTCGCCGTAATCTGATCCTTCACATGTAAATGTCCCTGTAAAATAAGTTTTTGAATCCATCAACATAATTCTCGATTTTGTGTTTTTAAATCAAAACAAAATAGGAAGCTTTCAGAATCTATAACAATGCTTGTCAATGCTTGGCATTAATCAAAATGGTTTCGATGCCTCGTGCATGACACTATGTGAAACAATATTCTTTAACAATTGATACAACGTTATATTTCTTTCACTCCATTGATGAAAAAAGAAATAATACTAGCCTTTGTCGAAGGGACTGACTCTGTCTATTATCATCACGGATCTGATCATCTCCTCTGTTGTTGAAGGTATCCTTGACTGAAAGGCATCCCGAGTCGACAACAGTGGTTCGAACTGTGCGTTATCCTTAAACCATCGGAATTTCAGATTTTCGGAACCTCTCGCTTCACACGATAGGGTGAGATCGTTTCCTTGTATGATCGGGTATACATCTTTGCCCATTATCCAACTTGTTACACGGGCGACTTGCAGCTCTGTTGAAAAAGAAAAAAAGAAACGGTTTGCTGATGATCATTCTAAGCTACTAAGTATTTTTTTGTTATAGTTTTCCAACACTCCAAGACGATAGTAAATATTGAATGATTTCCCCGGGAAACTAAACAACAATATAGTTGTAAGTGATATATTGGATATGGTAGTGTATTTTCAATTTCAAAATATGTTATTGTTAATTCATTATACACACGAGCAATACCGGGAAAATAACTTATATAAACAAAAGGATTAGACAACATGCTTAGCCTATTCAAGCATTTCCTTACTGTGTATTTCAGATTTTCCTACTGCGTATTTTAGTGTAATGTATTCCGGTCTTAGCGTGTGGATGCCATAATTATTTGGTTTGAGTATCTACCATTGATTGGTATCTAATAACATATTGTCTGTAGCCACCATTCATGTCACCGTTTGACACCATCTGCATGGTGGTATCATTACGTATAACTATAGCAATTACATGTCATAGTTAGCTAACATATGTATTCACGTCGAAGAATTAATAGTATCAAAGATTCAATAACGCCGTGTCATCACAGAGGTCTCTGTATACTGAACACTTTCTCTCTATATATAGAGGATATGAAGTGGTTTCCCGCTGAATATCCCACATATTTCATGAGTGAAAATAGCGGTATATTTTGCCCTGCGAGAGAAACATATGTATAGTATTTAATCGTGATTTTTTCTATTTATTATGTATCTTAAAAGTAAAACAACGAACTAATGCTGCATCAAAAATGCGAGACGTAGTATCATAGTCTTTGACGCCATGGTTTGATGACGCCATTCTTGACAACAACGTTGTGCTATATTTTGAATTGTCTGCTCAACGCTGTTCTTCTGTTTTCTGCTAATGTATGGTAGGATTTAATTACATTAATATTATCAATTGCGTAGGCATGTTACACTGTCTTTGGTTATGTACCAAAAGGTTAAAATAACAACTTCGTCTGCCGTCGCTACATATGCAGCTGAACAGAAAATATGCGGCAATAAATAGAAAATATCATATTGATTGGTCAATATTAAAACGATACTGGGGCGTATATTATCACATGTAAATATACATTTGGTAGGAAGTTATTGGCTTAAATCATGCTGATAATTTCTAATATTTCACTGTTAGAAATATGATAATAAAAAACATTTATTACAATTAAAAGACCACAAAGCTTACACTTTACAACATTGTTACTTTAACACCTGTCTATACAACGATAACCTGGGGCTCATTTAACTGTTCTTTTTTGTTTGCCTGAATGCTAGCTGACAAATATACATTAACAGAATATATTAGTGGGTCATATAGAAAATTACATTATACTCTGGGGTCTAATTTTATAATGCCAGTCATTATAACGTCCTTTCAACAAAACCAAACGATGCCCCCATCGCTTCTTTTGCCAATTCACAACTAATGACTGTAGCACTAACTCGTCACAGTAACAAAAGGATAACAAAAACAGATTTGCCTACGGGAAAACATTATTTACGGATGATATCTTGGTATTTAACTGTCAACTTTCAAGCAATAATGACAAAGGAACAACCATATAATATCGCCCAGTCATCGCTAAATCTTATTGAGAGTTTCAGTTTTTAAGTTGGAATATTTGTACAGCTTCATAATGCGATCTGATTTTAAATTTGCTGTGAAACAGGTACTTATTGTCTACATAGCGCGTAAGGGACATTTTATCTAACAGTCGACATAGAAAATGACATTTTGATGAGTCACTAATTATATATTCTTCATTATGACATGTACACGAACGTTTAATGATCATTCAAGATAATAAACACTGGTGTTGCCGTATTCGCAATAATTTACATCTTATTAATTTAAACATAGATTTGAAATTAATGTGTCTTGATTGTTATAGATAGTTAATATGTTAAATCGCAAATAAAACGTTTGGTCGAAGGCTAAGAGCATAAATCACGTGCGAGGCCGATATGGGACGTTCCGGCTTGTGACCTACATGTAAGCACAGCTAGCAGTATAGCGCATGCAGAACAACCGACATGATAGACTAGTATATGGTAAATGGTATCATGAGTTACCTGGCTCGAGATGAAAACGGACGAATCTGTCCGTTAGCGCCACTGGTCCAATGTTCCCTGTTGTCATGGTACCGTCGAGTATCGGACCCAATTTAGGCGTCTCGTACTTTTCAAAGTAGAAAAAGAACTGAAACTCCATTCCACTGGTAGCATTGCTGTAATTGAAGAGAACATGGTTTACTTTCTCCTTATGTAATCTTTGAAAATAAAGATGAAATGGAGTATGACTACTAGTTAACTCGTAATAACATCTTAGGAATGCTTCTAGTGATGACTTCATATTTATAAAGTGCTTAATTCTATCCTGTACTGAATCGTGTTTTCGTATCACAATAAAAGAAAGAATGCAAACTGATTCTGTTCATAACAGTCTTGTTATTAATTATATGTCATTTTTCATGTCATTGTACATGGACACATCATTGTTCTGCTATGTGGGATCCTAGGGTATACATATGTCACATACACGTATGAAACAGAACGTTGTGCCGAAAAGCTCGACCTTTAGTACTTTCTTTTCATTTTCCACCAATCCAATCAATAAACTGTAACAAGAACGAGTTTAGAATAGCTAGTTGATATTTTACATTTCTGGAAAGCGATAGGGTTATAACGTCCTTTTAGTTGTTGTTAGTATGTACATGTAATAAATTAAAAATGTATCTCACCTGAAACCGAGAATACCGAATTTGTCCATCGTGTCTAAACCTTGGTTCCATAGCTTAGTAAACAGCTGAAATCAATAACAAAATCCGGTAATATTGAGTATGCTTATCTTAAGAAAGGCACGCTAATAATAACATTAGTACAAAATAAAAAAAATACGATTGCTTTTATTTTTTAATTCTAAAACTCATTTAACGCATTTCAAAACAGTTCATTTGGTTTATTTTAAACAGTTGCATTATACGATTATTCGAACATACAAACAAGTTCAAAGGGATGGGTAAACATGCTAAAAAGCTTATGTGAATCTCCATCTTAAATATTAATTTTAATGTGAGTATTTGATATCGATGATAAGTAACTAATTTCTTATTTAAATTCTTCATAAATGTCAGAACAAATCTCAGTTTAGGCTTTGTCACTACCCCATGTGAACCAGACGCTTGCAGTGGGTAAATGTCGTTTGTGTTACGAAGCCAGAAATATCATACGGCTTTGGGAAGACAAATCACTATATATGGAGACTTATTCACCATAACACTTCCCGGTAGGACATCTTAAACTGTCACCATATAGTACAAAGATGACTCAACCTTCGCAATGAGTCGTAAAAGCACCGTGGTTGTCTTAAACATCCACAGGAGTGTCAACGACTACTGTCGTACTATTTACTCACAGATTGTCCTTTAATACACAAGACTAGGATTAGAGTAGGATCACCATCACAATCGTATTTGAGAATTATCATATTTCGTTAACGAAATGAGCACTGGAGTTGAAACTACATTTTTGTGATTACCGTATAGCCGTTTTCTCACAGAATGATTTTACTTTTAGGCAGAAGACTAAGGAAATAGTATAATCACCATCGAAATCTTATTATATTTCATTAACGATAGGAGTACCGACGTTTTTGATAACGCTCATTAGTGTTCATTGTGGGGTTTTTATCGTCACATTCCCGGTACCGTCCTTTAAGACGTGACATTACCTTGGTCTGACCTAGATTGACACAATTTAAACATTTTGTCGACAATGCACACGATGTTTCTCTTCCCTTACAGTTTTAGTTCTTTCTGCCCTTTTTAAACCTCTTCTGTATTACTATTTCCTTCTTTATAATTTTATAACTAGATCATTCTAGTGATACCGTCACAGCCATGGTTTCAGTGATTTATCATGCATGTATTGTTTTCGTTTATACCATAACACAACCCGAAAGTCTTCCATATCGTTTTAAATTGCAGTCTGAAACCTTCGTTGCCACTAAGGAATAATGAAATTTAGAAATGGCATCTTTTTAAAATACTCCTTTTCTACATTTCAATAGTAAACGTATCTCATTTGATCATGTTTTGCATTATGTCATATAAACATGACGTCATATGTGTCACACATTTAAATATAATTTCACCTTGTTGACATTACATGATATAATCGGTACTTACGTCAACATACATCCTCTCTTCAAGCCCTTCCACCAACCCCTCAGTTGATGACGTCATCCAGCGGACAATAAATTCGTCTACAGGATGTATCGACACAGTCACGCGGTATCGATCTGTAAGAAAGGGACACAAATCTTTATCTTGATAAAATGAACTACAAAGTAAGCAAGTGCACATAAGTCACATACATTACTGTGTCAACAGATCTACATACAAATATTCCTGATGGATTAATCGGACTAATCAAAACACGCGATGGGAGATTGTCAACTATACATCTACAAATTGTGGTGTACCTACAATATCTAAAGGCTCAAATAAACTTGATAAATATAATGTAAGATTAACATTTTAAACACTATACATTAAGCTTATTGCCGCAGCACATTCATGTATTCGCCATCATTACAGGTCAAAAAACGAGATCTTCCGAACAATGCAAAATGTTTAAACTGTTTCACGAGGTGATTTTTATTTAGAGAACACACAAAGGGCAATAACTCGAAATGATTGCATAATGTGGAAGTAAAAATTGTGAGCTTAAAAAACAGATGGAAAATTGATGATGAGTTGACTGACTGTAATGATCTAACAAATGTATGTGTGCCGTTACAGTCAGTACCGTCATTGTTGTGAATGAAAAAGTCTTAAGGGTGGCAGAGTTATTTCCCTTTGTCCATTGTGAACAGCATCTGTATCGGTAGTGTTTATAGAACTTTTCTAGGTAATAGTAAATGTAGATTTCACGTGCAGTACACACACCATGCGGTCGGCCATTGTACAAGCTCTTCTTCTTTTCTGGAAGTTTGTGATACCATAATGTAAGTTGTGTCCCTTTGTAATGATTGACATGTTAGTTTACTGTGTACTTGAGACTGTTATGCTATTGTCATAAAGATGTAAAGATGTTAACCCTGGCATTGTCGCGATAAACATTGCCATATGTGGTTAATTCCGTCAGTTTAGTCAGTCATGTCGACCAATTATATTGCCCATGATAATTGATACAATTCGTGGGTCGAGTTGACCTCTGGCGAATGATAAGTGACATCATTAGGAAGAGTTAGTACTGTAATAATTACTGTTAAATATACTAATAGAAGTTCATTTCTATTTGTTGCAGTCCTTTACTTCAATACAACAATAAATTGCCACGTTCTAAAAATGCGGCAGACTTCTTTTTTTTGTGTGTATCGCCCAAGGCCGAAACGTGCAGACACAGTATGTGCAACAAATATCGATCACTTTATTTGTATTTAATTGTAATATCTACTTAATCCAACGGTAGTAAGTTGTTTTTATGAATTGCAAGTACGGAAAGTTTATACAAATCTACAAATGGTTGAATGCGAGCATAGCAGGCGCCAATTATGAAAAGGGAAGTTATTATGAAGAAATCAGGATACAATTCAATTTAACAAGATACTGCTGTGGTTTATCATGCCTCACAATTCAACTGAAAATGCCTCTCTCAATTTCTACTTTATATAGTGCAGAAGGGTTGTACGTTTCAGATTGAGTTAAGAGATCATGTTTATTATATTAAGTTATAAGCAGATAACTGTTTTGATTTCAAGAGACGTGAGATGGGATATTAATCATATACGAATATGACATATTAACTGCCAGGAATTTAACACGAGGTGTCTTATTTCCAGTGCGTTAAAAATATCTTGTTAACCTTCCGCGGTTCGTAGGAAAGTACGACGTGAGATAACTTGGTGACATAATATGCTTATTTTGAATATAAAAGCTAGCTATAAATAACTTCGTGGAAACGGTTGTCATTAATTTGCATGAAATTATGATATCTAAACTATCTGTTAACGTAGTGTTGTACGTCAATTCAGCGTTTCGGCCTTTTGATATAATGTTGCGGTATATATTACCCTCCATGTTACATAATCTAGCATGCAGCAAGTTAACAAGGTTGTCGTGTATAATGATGTTTGGGCAAGTGGTAATTTAACAACCATTTCAATACCTGTAAAACACCACTAACTATCAACAGCATGTCTCCGAGACTCCTTCAAATCTATCCCCTTCTTCATTTCATTTCAGTTTTTTTTTTTATTGTTGCAATTAACAATATGATTGGACACAGGCATTGCCTATAAAAACCCTTTCTATATAGAAAGACATACATTTCAAACATATACTGCATGTAAATTAAAGATGTAACATATTAAGTTTAGGTAGATAAAATGAAGGGTAGGCCGTACCAATAAGCCAGTTATATATATATGTACATAGAGATATTTAACAGGATAGACCTAGAGTTCGATTAGGGCACTTCAAAGTCACTGTCACTACACACAGTGCCATATTAACCAGTTACACTAGAATTGCAGGAAATTAATGATACATAATATAATATGTAGTACAATATAGTTAAAATCTTACAGATTGTTCTATATGATCCAGCTAGGACACGAGAGAACTAATACATTTGTTTCAATACTTGAATTAGTTCTTCTATTGCGATACAGCAAAACACACTTAATCATACCAAGTCGGCAGCGGTGGATTAAACATCTAGCACGCTCAGTGAAAATCACTCTGATACCATAATTATGCAAGGTTTCGACAGAAGCTAACGATTCAGCAGATAGTTTACGTGTGTGTTTAAATAAGGCTGTGTTTACTCCTCTTGTTTTGAACTGTCATCGCGTCATATATTTGTATTTATGTTCACATAAAGTAATTCATAACTTCTGTTTTCAGATCTCAACCTGTTTACTTACGTACATGTATTCAATGTTTTGGTTGGAAGTAGATATATAATCTAATTATAATTGGGTTATCTCCCTTGATACTTTCAGTAGTGTGTCAAGTGATTATGTTGGAATACGAAGTCACGTGACGTCAATCGCCATTTTCTGAACCATTCACTTGATTTTGCTCCGCAAGTTTTCATTGTTTTATATGCCCAACTCCACCCCTTACTTTCTCCAATTTTAATTACAATCCAAAAAATGTTTTTTGGCATTTTGCTATATTCTAGGCCAATTATTTTATATCTAGTCCCACCGAATTTGCCTAATACATTATATTTTAATTACAATCAAAAAAATGGTTTTTGGCATTTTGCTTAATGCTATTAGACTTTGGCATTTGATTAAATGCCATATTACAACAATAAATGTCTTGTGTCGTTTGTGTCATTTTTGGGCAAAAAACAAGCAGAGTTATCCGGTGTGCTTTAATTTCAAGTAGAACACAAAAACACGATGTTAAAATAACCAACTTGACATTGACATCTGTATAGCAGTGCGTCTCAAAATGAGTATGGGTTCGCAGCGAGTCAGCAGAACAACTCTAATGTACATGGTTATAGATGTGTATAAGCTTCATGACTTGTATAAGATAAGTGTTTTCCTGGATAAATTGGACGTTTTTTTTTGTTTTCATTGCATGCTGTTAATGCAGCGTGCTTAATCTTACATTCCTCAGAACATAATGCTACAGGGACGTCGTTACATGATATTTAAGCATTGAACTGTTACCAGATGCAGTATACAGTCGATATGAATCTGTCACCCAAATTGCATTCATATCGACTGTATACTGCATCTGGTAACAGTTCAATGCTTATATTTACATTAAAATGTATATAATTTGTTTTGTATAGTAACTGAAGCAAAAAAAAAAAAAACGTTTGAATTTCCCGCTTATCATATCAGTGACCTCAGTAAGTTCAAATCCCGGAACAGCCGACATTTCAAGAAGAAATAATATAGTCCCTCGTGTCATTGAAAACCACACGCACATAAAATGATTTGAACACAAATTTAACTTTATTATTTATTTCATATGAGTGTGTATATGTTGAAAAATTGTTAATAATTGCATAACTTCTGCTTGTTTAAAATTAAAGCTGTTTTTCGCACATTGATAGATTCCATGTATTTTGAAGTGATGCAGCGCTGAACGGAATTGATTGTTTCCTCGGAAACGCTTATGTTTCCTTCGACTGGAATATTACGTTTTTTTCAGAAGCATATATACTCGGAAATGTTTAATTACAGTGGTCCTTTCAGTTTGTGATAACGATTCCAAGGACATTTCGTTTGAAATAGATTCCATGTCTTATCGGTCAGATTAGCATCGCTAGCAGACGACGTTCACAGGGGCTCGGTTTCGTGATTTTGAGTAATGGATGACATCACTGAAAAACCACAACACTTAAAAAGGTATGTATACACATTCTAAAACCTTGTCGATACCCTCGACTTTTACAAGGTTTTAGAAATATTGAATTTTAGTGTTGTGGTTATTCACTGATGTTATGCATAACTCAAATTCTCGAAACCGATCCCCTGTGTGATGACGTTGACAAACTTGGTAATTTCGTATCTAGAATGGCGCTTACAATAATTTTGTGGTACCTACACATCTTATAATAAATCTATTCGTCATAATTTGTCAAGTTGCTTTATTTTTTTTGCGATGACCTATATTGCTAAATGCTAACGAACCCAGAATGTTTTCCGACTATAGGCCTATTGATACCGAAAGTATCGGGCGGCCATGTTTGTTTACCTTGTACCAGCTGTATTCCTATTCTGGCCGTATCACTGTAACTTGTAGTATACAGTCTCATATACTGCAATTTGGTTTACTAACGACATACAAGCAAATGCAACACAGAATGTAAATATAGTGTCGTGATAATGGTTCTGTTAAAGACATGGCGTGCATTTTCTAATAATTTTTTCAAGATTTAGCAGGAGTGAATATCTTATTACCTTGAAACCTTGTGCACTAACTATCAATTGTAAACTATCTGTTTGAGTTCTATCGAACATTTATTGATACATGAACCAATTTTGAAGTTTCCTTGCTAGTCTGTAACAGTAGTTTAAATATCGCGATAAATGTTCCCATTTAATGCATACGACAATAACGGAAATGTGTATACATGGTGTTATGCCGTTTTAAAAGACAGTAGAAAAGAATCGATATTCGTCCCGAATGAACAAAACTGTAAAGCTTAATATACACGAAACAATTATATGAATCACCGTCGTTATCGATAGTTCTCTCATTCCAACGTGAAGACCAGGCTCCGCTTGTTCAAAGTTTGGTTAGCTTAATAAATCGTTAATACGAA